TGTCTGTCTGTCTGTCTGTCTGAGACGTCCCAAACCCTAGGCTCTCCTTCAAAAGCTGAAAAAAATCGGGAAATTTCGTCGGAATGTACACTTTCATTCATTGGATTCTCTGCAACTCAGCGGGGCTGGCTGCTGCGCCCCCAAGTTGGAAGGGAGCTTTGGTCCAGCTTTCGGGATGCCGAATCCTCTGGTTCCCTCCGCCATGGGCTGAGTTTCCGGCTCCAGGTTCGCGGGTTGCCCTGAGGTTTGAGGCCAGACAGCTCCCAGTCTGGCAGGGAGGGCGGGGGAGAGACTAGCGGCTCTGGCCCCTTAATTGTACTTCGGACCCGTATTGTCTCTCCTTTCGCCACCTCGGCTTCCTCAGTCTGGGCTCCAAAGTCACTGCAAATTTCCTTGCGACACACACATCACACAAAGATCAGGTAACAAGGCTCCCCAAGCCATGGGGGCTTCAGGCAGAGAGCACCCCCAGTTCTGGGGCCGCTCCTCCCTCAGCCACTCCCCAGGCTGGGAAACCAGACCCGGTTGGGGGAGCCGGAAATAGCCCCGTTTGCTGCGGGGCGGCAGGGCGGGGGCCGGCGGGAATGCAGGCCGTGGCGTTGAGAGGGCCACGTTCACAGGCCCTGGGGGTTTCACTCCTGCTGGGCTTAGGGGCCTGACTCCTGGTGTGTAGGGATCCCGGATACCCACCTGGGGTGGGGGCAGGACGCGGTCTCTCCTCGCGGCGGGCCAGAAGAATTCAGTTTCTGCTTCCAGCGCAGGCCTTAGCTAGGAGGAGTTGTGTGTGGGTGTGTTTTTCCCAACAAAGAGGGATCAGGAGCGAGAAGGGGGGAAAGTAGAGGGGAACCGAGGAGGGGGCGGGGAGGGGGAGAGGGCAGCCGAGAGGTGAAATGAGCCCATTTCAGGGGGAGAAGGAAAATGAAAGCAAATGGAGCACGGCCTCCTCCGCGCGGGCGGGTGCTGACGAGCCGGGGAGCGGGCTCCCTGCCTGCGGCGGCTGGGGACCGGGAAAAGCCTGTTTTAAATTTAATCCGAACTTGACGGTGTGGATTGAACCGGAGGGAATTTAAATCACTAAGAGGGAGGCGCAGGGCGAGGGGAGGGGATGACTCTAACCTGTCTGTCTTTCTGTCTGTCTGTCCTTCCCATGGTGGTGCTATCTTGGTTGTGGTCGCAGCTGTGCAGGTCTGAGGTGATGGAGTCAGGGTGCCCCTCCCCCTTAGGGGGTCTCCTCTGCCCAGTGAATTCTTTTGGGGTCGGAGGCAAGCTCTAAGAACCAGAGTGAATGCAGAGCTGCTGGCTGAAGCTGGGGTTCCCCCCACCAACAGGGACTCCCAGTGTCCTCCAGTCCCTCGGGTTTGCCCCATCCGTGCTGAGGAAAACTGAAGGGATTGGTGGGGGTTGAGAGGGAGTGTGGGAATCTGGCAGGAGATTCAGCAGGAGTAGGTGAACCTGGAAAGACAAGCCCCTCTATTGGTGCCCCCACAGCCTTTGTGCCCCCACATCCACAGGCTGGGATTTGTGGGGGGAACCTCAATTTCTGCTTCAGAGCCCTGACCTGCCATCCCACCTCCAAATGCAGAGACTATGGGTACAGCCCACAGACAATTGTGGAACCTGAGGGACCTCGGCCTGGTGAACTCAGGGACTCCCAGCCTCTTCCAGCCCCCCTCCTCGTGGCTGCTGCTCTCTGCAAGGCATAGGCAAACCAGGGCATTGGTGGGGAGGGGGCTGTGGGCGAGGCCTGCTTCCTGATCCACAGCTGTGTCTGTGCCTGAGTGGGGAGGGTCTGAGTTCACACTCTCAAACGAAGGCAACATCTCCCATCAGTTTCACGGGGAATTTGATGGCAGCAGGGAGCCCCGGCTGGGTGATCAGGTCTGCCCCGCTGTCGCTGCCTCTGCTGGGTGGGCAAGCAGGGTGGGCAGGCAGCTCCAGAGTTGAAAAGAAGGTAGTGGCCAAAGGGGTAGGACAGAAAGGGGCATCTGTTTACAGCCGCTGTGTCTGACGGGCTCTTCCAAATAGTAGAGGCCCATAGGAAGAGGTCTTTAGGGACGCCTTTCTTCTAGGAAAACTGAGGTGGGGGCACATGGGCCCTGTCGGCTGGCGAAGATGCACAGGGAGGAGCGGTGCATGAGACCTTCTCCTTCCTCATGTCTTCTTTGCTCCTTGACTGGAGCGTGGCTCAGCCCCCAGATGCCTGGGGGGGCTGCCTGGGCTGAGATGGGGTTCTACATTCTCCAGAGGCCTAGTGTACCCACCCCAGCAGGTCACCCGGGAGGGACAGGAGAGGAGGCCTCTTCCTCCTTTGTGTCCGGACAGAAGTGGCCGCGGCGCCCGGAGCTGGTCCCGCGGCAAAGGCCTGGCGAGCAAGCGGACAGCACAATGCCACGGCTGCTCCCAGCTCGCGCCCTGCCCGTCCCGCCTGCCTATCGCCAGCCTTCCTCCCTCCCACTCTCTGAACGCCTTCCTCTCCCTGCTCTCCCATCTCTTTTCATCTTGCCCCCCTCTTTCCTTTAATTCTCCCCTCTCCTTTTCTTTTTATCTCAGTCCTCTGTTTTCTTCTCTCTTTCCTTCCTTCCTTCCTCTCCATGGGCCTGGCGCCGTGGTGCAGTTGTTATGTCTCGGGCTTAGTCTCTCTCAGGCTCTGTCCCCTGATGTCCTCTAGGTCTCTGTCTGGCCCCGGGCCCGCTGAAGGCTAGCTACACGTCTCTGCTCAGTGCTGCCAGCAGCCGCCCCAGAGCCAGGCAGGGTCCCCAGCCGCCAGGGCTGGGGGAGGTGCTGACGGGGCTGGGGATTTGGAGAAAGCCTCGGCAGGGGGACGGGAGGGAACCTCCTGTCTTTTCCTTGAACTAGTGAGGGAGAATTTTTGATTGACAGCTAACCCGACTCCATCAAGGCCAAAGAGATATTCTGTTTCTTGATGTAATTTGGATTTCCCACGCCAGTGCAGTCCGGGGGAGGGGAAGACAATCAGAGCTGAAGGCGAGGAGGCTGAGGCCCCGGGTTGTCTCTCCCTAGCCAGGCACTTCTCACACACCCCCCATGCGTCGAAATCCCAGCCCCGCTAGACCGAAAAGGAAAGAACCAGAGAGGGGGAGGAGCAGGGACCGGGGAGGGGACTTGGAAAGCTGGGGTCAGTGCTGTGGGCTGCAGATCTACCCTTCCCCCCTCAACTTTCCTTCCCCCCCCTTCCACAACACACATGCTACACTCTCTGGGACACCTCTCTCCAGCCCTTCTCCACCCCAGAGGAGACAGGTCGACAGAGATACAGGAGAAAACCATCCTCCACCCCCACCCCCAGCGTTTGGTCCCCTCCTGGGGACAAGAGTGGGAAAGAAGGGCAGGCATCTCCTGTCTGGGAATCCTTGTCTTTTCCTGCTGCCTCAGAACCTGTATCTCAGCCTCAGCTCCTGCCTATTTCCCACAGCACAAACTGGGACTCTTCTCTTCTGACCCTGAAATTGCACTCCTCCTTCAAACTCACTCTGCCATGCCTAGGGTGCATCGTGTCTCTGGGGGACATCACCTGCCCTTCTCTCTAGCCCCCCCCCCCCCCCCAAACCCCCCCCCCCCCTCTCTTGCCCCCACTGAAAATTTCCTGTTTGCTAAAAGCCCACCTTTACCAAACCACCATGGGACAGTCTGATGGAAAGCCCAGGGCTGGGCGACAAACCCCAAATTCAAGGAGGAGGGTAGCAACCAACTTATTGGGGGGAGGAATCCAAGTTGTCTGATCTTCCTTACAATCTCACTGCCCCCTCCAGAATTCCTGCGTCCGACCCCAAAGAAATTGCTTTCTCCCATCCCTCCGTTGCTTTTTTCCCGTTCCAAAAACAGCCTACAATTTTATTTAATGAAAGACACATTTATGAACAATCAAATGATCCTCATAAAAATTTTATTGAAGGACGTAAAAACAAGCTACTTGCCCACGACCGAGGTCGCTCTCTCTCGCCTTGCCCGCTCTCACCCTGGCTCTCTGCAGACAGAGCCCTGGAGTGACTTCTTTTGGGGGGGCAGGGTGTCGCAGAGATGGAGTTGGGGGCAAAGGAGGGTGAGCAGGAAGACGGGACGGGGATGCCCCACTTGTGCTGATCTCTCCTCCACTTCTTCAAGCTGGCAAAGAAAGATAAATAGATATAGACAATAAATTTAAAATAAAGGAGCTTGCATATCTGTGCCAAAGCAAAGAGAGGACTTCTGATGATAAAGGTGTATGAGGTCCGGAGGTCCTACCCCTCCCACAAGCAGACCACCTTCCCCAAGCTGCCCGACCCCAGATTTGGGGGGGCTGAGTTGGCCAGTGGCAGAAGGACGCTCCCCCTTTCCCTCCTTCCCTCCCTCCACCCCAGCTTCTCCAGTCCCCTCCCACCCTCCCTCCCTCCCTCGCTGCTGCTGCTCCTGAAAGAAATACATACATACACACTATTTAAAAACGCATTTTTAAAAGCCACGTTCCGAACTGACAATCGCTGATCTCGGCTCGCGCAGAGACTGCGGGAGCGTCGGGGCCGACAGAGACGGATTACGTCAAGAAATAGTTCCTCCACCTACCTCGGCCGGCCTCTCCGCCCCTGCGGGGCTCCCGCGCCCAGCTCGGCCCTGGGGGTCCGGGAACCCTGGCTTCGGGGACTGGCATTTTCACCCCATTAAGAAATCCTCCAGGGTGTGGGGGGGGGTGCGGGAGGCCATCAGCTTATGGGTGGACATGGGCAAGGGGGTGTGCTGATGAGGTACGAGTTGTCCTGAGGGGGTGGCCGGTGCCTTGGATCCAGAGTTCCGGACCCCCAGGAAAACGCAGGTCGCGGGGATCAGCCGAGAGAAGGGGGTGGGAGAAGGGGGAAAAAAAAAAAAAAAAAAAGGCAAGAAAAAAAAAAAAAAAGCCCCTGCGCATTGATCCGCGCCGTATTTTTGGGTAAATACGATCACGTGGGGGCCGGGGAACCAATGAGCTGCGGGGAAAAGGCTGGAAAAATAATTACCTGCCTTGATTGTTCTGTGAGCAGATAAAAAGTACATATACAGTTCATACAATAATCTTATGTATGTAAAACCCTGTTACGATGTCGGCGACGGGGCCCATCAGTAACTATTACGTGGACTCGCTCATCTCTCACGACAATGAAGACCTCCTAGCGTCCAGGTTTCCGGCCACTGGGGCTCACCCCGCCGCCGCCAGACCCAGCGGTTTGGTGCCGGACTGTAGCGATTTTCCGTCCTGTAGCTTCGCGCCCAAGCCGGCAGTGTTCAGCACGTCGTGGGCGCCCGTGCCCTCGCAGTCGTCCGTGGTATACCACCCGTACGGCCCCCAGCCCCACCTCGGCGCCGACACGCGCTACATGAGGACTTGGCTCGAGCCGCTGTCCGGCGCCGTCTCCTTCCCCAGCTTCCCGGCCGGGGGTCGTCACTACGCCCTCAAGCCGGACGCCTACCCCGGGCGCCGCGCCGACTGCGGCCCGGGCGACGGCCGCAGCTACCCGGACTACATGTATGGCTCGCCCGGGGAGCTGCGCGACCGCGCCCCGCAGACACTGCCCTCGCCCGAGGCGGACGCACTCGCCGGCAGCAAGCACAAAGAGGAGAAGGCCGACCTGGACCCCAGTAAGTTGGGAGCAATTTTCCTTTACAACCGGCGCGGGAGGGGAGGGGAGGCAGGGCGTAGGGGGGAGCCGGATTACAGCCCCTCGGAGCAGCGCAGGGAGCGCGGGAGAGGGGCGAGGGCGAGGGGGCGAGGACTCAATAAAAGCGAATTACCTTGGGGAGCTTTCAGGGGCAGGAAGGTCTGAGAAGGGAGCCCAGGGAGCCAGGTTGGGAGAGGGCTGAGGGGGGCTCCTCTCTCCCTGGTGCTGGCTTTGATGAGACACCCCCCCACCCCACCCCCAGCCCAGGCTTTTTTGGCTCAGTCGCTACTTTCCAAGAAATGCACACAGGGCCAAGGGATGGGGTGGGGGGTGAGGTTCATTTTATGGTTTGAGGTGGGATAGGGGAAGAGACAAGGAGGACACTGCGGACAGAGAGGAAATACCCCAGGGAGAAATATCACCCCTACCTCCCAGCCAGCATGGGGGTCCTCACCCCATCAGGGATTCATTGAACAGAAGGTGCCTGGACTTCTCCCCTCCAGGAGCACTAGGTGAGGGGTCTGGGGGATTTCATAACCTGGGAACTTGGAGAAATCAGGACTTCCAGAGTTGGGGAAGAGAAGTGGGGTCCCAGTCTCCTTAAACTTGAGAGCCCTCTTCTGAGGGTCTGCAGGAAAGAGGGTTGAGAACAGGGCTCAGGAATGAGGAATGGAGGGGGAGGCATCTCCCCAGACTGAGAATTATACCCCCCCAACACACACACACACATACTCCCATCAAGGAGACTGGAGCCTTAGAGTATTGCAAAGAAGGGCAGGGATGGGGGGGGGGCAGGTGGGAGCTGCTGGGCCAGAGAAAGGGGAAAGAAGGGGAAACAGCAGGGGAGGGGGTGCAACCCCTGGGTGTGAGGAAGTGTCTGGGGGAGTCCCAGGAGGGGGCTGCAGGAAATCCTTTCCTCCAGCTCCATAAGGGGCCAGGGCCTAATTATACCCCTCTGAAGGCTTCCCTCCTTGCCCTCAGCTACTCCCATAAACCTGAAATTGGAGGCTTGGCTCCTGCAGAGCCTGTCCTGGGGCTGGCGGGAGGGGGGCACTGGAAGCCTAACAGGGAGGCTAAGATATGGGGAGCCTGTCCCAAGGCTAGCAGCTCTCTGGGGAGAGGAGAAAGTCTTTCCCCATTCTAGCATCACTCTGAGAATTCGCCTCAGCAGGGTTGAACTCCGAGAGAGCGGAGGGCGCTGAAGAGGGTAGTGAGGGGCTTAGGGACTCTCAGGGTCAGGAAACAGAACTGCTGAAATTTCAGGACTGGGGGGGGGGGGGGGGGGGGGGGGGGGGGCAGAGGAGGAGGGAAGTGGGGAGGAGAGAGACCTCACTATAAAAATAAAAAACAAGAGAGAGAAGCGTTTATGGGCCTATGAAACGGTTGGGAATTTGGACTTTTTATGAGCATATTCTCGAATTACTACTCTTGAAGCTGAGGACCAGACTGTAGGGGCTTTGATAGCCTTGATTTCCTCTAGTTTGAGGTGCTAGAAATTGAAGAGGGGGACGATGGGGAGAGGGCAGCATGCAAAAGGAGACAGGGCGAAAATTCCCAAAGCAAAACGTGTCCAAATTCAGGTTCAATTATTGCATTGGGGGAGCCTGGCTAAGCCTGGGGGTAGGGTGGCAGGGGTCCTGGGCTAGAAAGGGGCTCCACTGACCCCTGCCTGTGTTTGGCCCTCCAGGCAACCCTGTGGCTAACTGGATCCACGCCCGCTCCACGAGGAAAAAGCGGTGCCCCTACACCAAGTACCAGACGCTGGAACTGGAGAAGGAGTTTCTCTTCAATATGTATTTAACCAGGGACCGTCGGTACGAGGTGGCCCGGGTTCTCAACCTCACCGAGCGGCAGGTCAAAATCTGGTTTCAGAACCGCAGGATGAAGATGAAAAAGATGAATAAAGAGAAAACCGACAAGGAGCAATCCTAAACCTGGCCCCAGCCTGCTGCCTCGGCACAGCCAAGGGAAAAACAAAACAAACAAAAAAAAAACCCGCAAAAATACCCCAACCCAGGCGGGAGAGAGCACGAAAAGAAAAGGAAAGAGCAAGATAGAGAAAAGCCAATCGGCTTAAAAAGAAAAAAAAGGAAGGGGAAAAGGAAAACTCTTGCGATTTGGGAGGGTTCAGTGTTGAGAAATTGGTGTTTTAGAGTTAGTTCTACCCAGCGAGGAGGAGGATGCGGGGAGAGAAGCCGCGTTCTCTTCTCCCACCGCAACTGAAATAAATGACACACACAAATGTGATTTTTCCCCTCCTTTCTCCAGAGAAGCCAGTACTTGAATCGCTATATTTCTATTTTTTTTTCTGTATCGTATTCGGTCCGGGCCATCCCTCCCCAGGCCTGGGGTGCTCTGCGTGCAGATTTTGTACAAAATAAGACACACACACATACACAATAACAATTCCCAGCCCAGGAGCTGAGGGACGAGGGCCCAGACCGTGCTGTAGGCTGGGTCCAGCGGCGCAGGCCGACGCCTCGGGCGTGTGTACATAGCAGTGTTTCTCCTCATCCCCAGCGTCCGTCCTGTAACGTGCTTCTGTTTGTTATGGTAGAACAGCTCTGTGTTAATATATCGAAGTCACTTAAAAAACCAGAAACCCAACCGCATCCAGTTCTCGTTATTTCTCCTCCCTGTGGCTCCCAGGCTGCTGTCGTGGAGGAGGCAAGTGCTCGGTGCCTTTGGGGCCAGCCGGAGCCAGGGAAGGGGCTCCCTCTACCTCGGAAGGGCAAGTGCTTGCCGCTGCTCTCAGGGCAGGGTGGGGTGGGCGTGAGAGCTCCAGGGGTGGAGTGGAGGCTGCTGAGGCCCTGGCCCAGCTTGTGCCTGCCCTGCCGGTGGCCTGTGAGTTTCCTGGTAGCTCCTTGGAGTCCTGGGCGGGGGGGGGGCATGGCATGAATGGTTTTCCCTGGCTGTAATTAATTGTAATAATTTATGAGTACATGAGATCGGAGGGAAGAGATAGGTGAAGATGAAAGGTGGGTGCTGGGTGAGGGCCCGGGCTGGATTCTTGCCTGTCTGCCTTGGTGCTTCGAGGGATGGCTGGGAGGGAGGGAGGGTGTGCGGTGAGCGGTGAGGGAGAAGGCTGAGCAGGCCTCAGGGAGCAGAATAGACACTGGGGACTGCGTTGAGAGTAAAAGAAGGGGGCGAGAAGAGGGAGGGAGAGAGGGAGAGAAGGAAGGAGAAAGAGAGGAAGTAGAGAGGGAAGAAAGAACGGGAAGGAAGGGAGAGAAGGAGGAAAGAGAAAGCAAAACAAATACAATCAGAATTAGATTTAGTTTCAACTTCCCAATGCATTCTCAGCTTCTGTCTCGCTCTCCCTCTCCCAGTTCTCTTTTCTTCTCAGTCTCTCTCTCTGTCTCTGGTGGTTTAGTTTGAATGTTGGTTTGGGGGCGACAGGGTTATGTGAGTGGTTTGGGGGCGACAGGGTTATGTGAGTGGCTGGGGAATGACGTGGCCAAGGCCTGAGGAAGCTGGTCAGGGAGTAGCCCAGAGTGGGGTGTTCCCTGATGATGGGGGTACCCCAGGCACAAGGGTAGAGGCCCGCATGTGCAACAGCCTATTGGGGCTGGTCAGTTGCACTGCACCCCAGAGCGCCTTCCCCAGCACAGGTCGTTTCCATCTGCTAATCAGAAGCAGACATGAGCTGCTGGGTATGCCTCGGCCCGGCGCCCCCTTTCTCGGAAATCCCCCAATCTGGAAACTATTAAACTCAGACGTCTTGAAATATAGCGCTTTAATATCTCAGGCTGCCCATTCTGGCAAGGGTGCAGGGTGTTGTTCTGAATACTTGGGGAATACCACCATAAAAGAAAATCATTGGGGATCCCAGTCCTTCTGCAGCTTCCTCCATCGCTTGGCCTTACAGGATTGGTGAGGCCCTTGGAGGGACCAGCCCCTTCCCCATCATTTGAATCTCCTACCCCCTCCTTCCATTCAACACTCCAATTTCGGGGGCTGGAGGAAGGTAGGATCCTGACACAAACATTTTGTTTGGATGATATTTTGAGGGGGGCAATCAAAAGTCGCAAACACTGGTTTTCCCAGTGGCTGAAGCACCCTCTCTTTCCCACTGAAGAAACCTCCACCCTAATTCCAGAAGCAGTTGTTTCCTTGGTCCTTTTGAAGGGTGCTTTGCCTGTCGTTTATCCTCTTTTCTCAATCCAAACTCCCCCCTTTGGCCAAATATTTCACTGTTCTGGGACCCTGGCCTCAGTTTCGCACTGGGCGGAGGCCAGGGTACCCGTGTCCCTGGGTCCTGACTGCCGGTCCTGACTGCGGAGACTCAGGCTTTTCTCAGCCCAGGCTCCGCGGCCTTTCCGAGCCTCCACCCCGCCCCTGCTTCAAGGCCCAGTCGCCTCCCCTCGTCCGTCAGCGCGGCCTGCTTCCTGCAGCCCGCTCAATCCGGCCTTACTCCGGACAGGAAGGAGGGCCGCAGGGCTCAGGGCTCCGAGGGTCCTGGCGAGATCGTGGGATCCAGAGCAGGCCCACCCGGCCCAGCCCACTGTTGAGTTCCAGTTCAGCCTTCAGCCTGCAGGTTAGGATTGGATTCAATTTTTTTTTAATTTATTACAATTTGTGAATTAAAACCACAACACAAGATACATCTAGGGAAAGAAACGAAAGCTGGGGGGGGCGGGAAGAGAGGCTAGCAAACGCCCTCCTGCCCTAATCTTCCCCTCCCACCTCTCCTCTGCTCCTTTGTCAGAATCACAAAACCCTAAAGGTTGTTCCACTTGGGAAGGCAGCGGATAGGTACATTTCCGCAGCCCCGAAATGCCACTTTTATGGCGCTGTTTGTCTCCCTGCGCTGGATTCTGAATGGGGCTGAACAAAACAGCAGCGCGGAGCTGGCTAGACGTCTGGGCTTAATTGTTTTATGGTTTAAATAAGGTGGACACTCTTTCCTTTGAAATCGGATTATAGAAATGTTTTGTCTATGGCCCACGGAGAACAGGACCTCACTGGCTGGGAGGGAGAGGTGGGGAGAGAGCGCGCGGGAGGGGGGCGCGGGTTGGGCTACAAACCAGGGGGCAAACAGTCGGGAGAAGGGAGAAGTCAGCGTCCCACCCCAAAGTCCTGCGGGCGGCAGCGGAGTAGGCGGTGCGAACCAGCGGCAGGGTAAGAGGATCGAGCAGTTTTGGGCGCGCGCCGCGGGCAGGAGGTCGCTGGAGCCTCGGAGCATGCATCTGCGTGAGCCGAGGTGTTCCGAGCCCAGAAATGCGCCTGAATAGGGGGGAGATCGCGGCAGGTCCTCTGCGCAGCGTCTCTTAATGCGGCAAGGGAGGGTGAAACAAGAAAATAGTGCGAAACCTTTGAGAAGGTTATTTGGAGAGTTTGGAAAACAAAAGGACAGCGGTCCCGGGGGAACTCCCTTCCGGGGACCCCTCGCTCTCGCACCCATTTGGAAACTCCTTCCTCTCACTTCCCACCTTTGGGCCAAGGCTGGGACCTTCCGGCTCTGTTGGCATTTTCCGGCAGGACGGCATTGGAGCAAGTGGACGCGAGGTGGCGCTGTTGCTCAATGTTAGAGGCGGCGGCGGTGCCCCTGGCCGGCCTGGCTGCACTGACATTTGAGGCACGGCCCGGAGGAGCGGCGGGGAGAAGGCCCCGCGTCCCGGCCCAGACCGGCCCCGCTGGCTCTGAGCAAATCAATCCTCTCACCTGCGAGGTGTAAATAAATCGCGAGTGGCGGCGGGAGATGGGCCCTCGCTCTGGCGGCAGGCTCGGGAGGCTCAGGAGGGCGGGCGTCGAAAATAATCGCTTTGCGAAGGAGATAAGCACCAAGCAGGCAGCGCGTAATTAACACAAAAAGGCAGAATGACCCGGACAAAAGAACATAAATCCGTGGTACCTAGGAGGGCGGAGTAGGCCTCGGGGCGAGGGGCAGAGACGCCCCAGCGAGGATGGCTGCTTGTGGTTCCTTTATTTCCAAGCTCCGGGAGCGAAATCAACCAGATACGTGTAAAAGAAAAAAAGACAATCCAATGGGGGGGGGGGGGAAAGAAAGAAAAGGAGAGGGACCCCCAAAAAGGGGAAATCGAGTCCAGCCAGGGTTTTTGGGACTGGTGGGCTCTCAGAGCAGACGGTGGTGGCAGCACACTCGGGACAGTCGCATTCCAAGACACAAAGGCCTGGAAGAATAGCTCTGTGGCAGGGTTTTCGCTGGACCATAAAATGTCGAGATATCCCCCCCACCCTCTAAAAGATAAGGCGCAGGCCCCAGAGAGAATTTGGCCTGCCGAGCCTCCTCTTTCCAGGCAGGAAAGGGGAATTATTTATGACAGTCCCCAGTGACCCAGATGCTGGGAACCCAGAGCCCATCTCCTTCAGCTTGGTACTCTGAGCAGAGGAGGCTCAGAGAAGGCAGGGCTGAAACCAAGGCTGGAGCTTGCTCTAGCAGTGGAGGAGACCCCTGTCATGTCCCCAACTGTCCTAGACCCTAGGGAGACCTGCGGTGCTGGCACAGCCCTCCTCTGATCCTCCCCTCCTGCTGCTCCAGGGCCAGAGTTCTGGACGTTGCAGAGTCTGGGCAGTCCTTAATTCAGGTGGAGGTGGGTCCCTCCATATTCAAGGGATCCTGGAAGTGTCTATGGCTGGGGCACCAGTGACTCTTCTTTGGGAATTTGGCTGAGAGTGGCCATTTTCCCAGCAATTATTTAGATATTAGAGGGACTTGGGGGCTGGTGTTATTCTACTCCATCCTTTCCTGAATTGCCATTCCTTCATCCATCTCCAGAGCTGGGCTCCGGCTGGGGAAGAAAAAGATCTGGTTTTCCAACAGCCTCCTTCCTCATCCAATCCTGAGACCCCAGGATGTGGAAAGAAAATAGGGAGCAAATTTTTTCCTGATGCAAACAGCTAGAGATGCACGTGTATTTGTCAGGCTTTGGTTCCCTGTGTGCCTGGGCGAACAGTGTCTGTGAGGTGACAGGGGTGCTTCCAGGCATGCATGATAGTTGAGGGAGCATGCGTTCGATGCGTTTTGGGGTGGGAGGTGACATACCCAGTGTGTGTGTGTATCCTGAGTGTGCTCCACTGTTGCCCTGTGTGCACCAACCTCACACACTGTGGAAGGGGAGGGCTGGAAAAATCCTTCTAATTCCTCTTCCTAATACGTATGCACACAGCACACGTATTCACAGCTCTCTCACTTTCTCTCTTTTCTCTGTCTGTGTTAAGCCCCACATAACTGTACACGCTTATGGTATGAGAAGGGTGCTGATGGACTAAGGTTCTTTTATCCATTGAATTACCTTGAATTTACCTAGTCTTGGGGATGGGGGAGGAACCCCCTAGAGAAACTATGGGTAAATATTTAAAGAGTGTCTGTTGACAGTTCCCATCCACATCCTGGCCTGGGCTGCCTGCCTGGGGAAGTAAAGGGTGTAGTGAGGCCAGGGGGCCCCTCCAGGTTGAGCTGGCATGTCCTATATGGCTAGAGTGTGTGGGAACAAGTAAGAGGCCTGCTCCGGTCCCATCCGACCCAGATACAAATAGTCTCCTGAGAAGAAACATCTTGGATCAGCCCATCCAGAAGTCAGAGACCGGCCAGCTGCCCTGTCCTCTGTCCCCATAAACTGCTTTGCTCTCAGAGCCCC